CCCCAAAACCCCAAAACCCCAAAACCCCTTCCTATTTCTTAACTTTGAAAGTTTAAACACTTGTTAATAAGTAGGCTGGTTATTTGATAACTTGCCTCTTCTTGACACCTTCTTTCTGGTCCTCTTCTTCTTTTTTGACCACGCCTTCATCACTATCATGTGAATCATCCTAGGTAGGGTTAAAACATAAGCTTACAGGCTCAGAATCTTTATCTGTTTCTTCTTGGATTACCTTCTGTTCTTCTTCTTTCTCCTCTTTCTTTAGTGAACCGTATGGATCTCTGTTCTTATCAACTCTGTAAACCCATCTTTGGTACAAGTAAATTATAAAGATAATGTCATCTCTGAAACAACTCAACCTATGCATCGTTGGCATAGAGATTATGAAGGAGAACAGATCATCAATGATTGTATTCAGGAATCTGTAAATCAATGCTCTCCATGGCAAATGTTCAACAGATTTCAATTTGTAATTAATGTATAGCTGAGGAGTCATCGTAATGAATCCAAATACATATACTGCTCCTACAAGAGTGTTGATAATAAAAGAGTACCATCCCTTATGTTCTTCATACAATAAAGAGTATACTCAGTAGCATGTTAGAAGGGGATACATAGCATAACCGAGATACTTCATTGCCACTCTGTCATATTTGTCTGTGTCATCTTCCTTATAACTATCTTTATCTTCAATCTTAATCCAAGGGAAGGCCTCTTTGCTGGAAACCTTGCATGCCTTGGTGATTTTCCAACATTCAATAAGAATACCGAATCCTGCTGGAAGAATAATCATATAAGATGTCTCCTCGTTTTTATCTAAGAGGTAGAGGAAAATAATAACACTCATTGCGAGATTAATAAATAAAGTTCTCACTGAGATTCCTTTCATGGAGTCTCTGTCTTTCCAAAAGTGGATCTCATTCTTAAATGCCATTACTTCACAAATAGTATGAGCTACAGATACGACCATTGTTAGGGCAAGAAGGTAGAAGTTTGTCTCAGCAAACATTTTCTTAGTAAGATCCATATCAGTTGCCATCCCCCATTCTTTATACATATGGTTAACTTGGTCCATCTGCTCGATCATTGCTATTTTCATGAAGGAGTAAGGCTGGATGTTCACAGTGACATTTCCATGCTCCACAGTCTCATTTAGAGGTATTAAGAGTTCATTGTATATCCAATAGTCTGTACATATGAATAGAGGCTCGTAGTAATTCAACTGTGTATTAATCAACAACACTTTTCTTAGTTGATCCGGAATACCATTTCTTGGATAAATGGTAGTATCAGGAGACACATATCAATAAATTTCAGGCTTCAAGTGTTGAATATAGGGTTTCGGTCCTTCATCTTCTTCCTTTGGCTCTTCTTTGACTTCGATGTCCCCATTAAGAAGATTGACAGTCTTTTTCTCCTCGACTTTTGGAGTATACTTGATCAATGGGATACTTCTGTGCATTACTATTTTGTTGCCTCCATCTTTAAACCAGGCATCAGAATATCCTGGGATAGAGCGATACTCAGGCATCTCAAGGTCTAAATGGTCATCTTTGAATCTATAATCAGCTTCGAACTCTACATGTAGATACATGGTAGCGTTCCTGTCTAAGAATTTCTGTGAAATAGGGAATGAGATGTTATAACTAATCTCGTTTGTACTTTCCCAGTCATAAGTAAGCCCCTCTTTTTCAAAGACTTTTTTCATTTTCTGATTAACCTGGTATTCCTGGTTTTTTTTATTCTTCACAAAATATTTATGAGGGGAAACATACCCTGTCACATTGAATTCATGAGAAGTATAAAATAAGTTCTGCAGCTTATCCTTTAAAAGAACTTGATGCCCATCCTGGTCTAGTAGGTCTTCCTTGTTGAATTGTTTTTGGCCTCTATAAACAAAATAGGATGAATAATGTTTAAGACTCTCTTAAGATGTTTATTCAGAGTTTACATGATTAATTATCATTGGGTAAAATATATGCAAAAAGGTTAAAAAGGTAAAATTTAATGCAACTCAAACCACTCTCAATGTATAAAATATACTGCTTTAGCCTCCTTTTAGTACTTACTTGAACAGGCTGACCACTTGCATGATCAGGAAATAGACAAGGACCATCTTAGCAACTCTCCACATAAAGCTTTCCTGCTGAGGCTCTTCTTGTGGTGGATGTGGGTTTGGATTTACTTGTTCAACTTCTTCAGACATTTTGGAATGTTCAATAAGTTTATAAAATAATGGGGTTTTGGGGTTTTGGGGTTTTGGGG